AAATCGTTTCGCGTCGACAAAAGATGAAATTGGTGATAATTTGAAATCGGGTATTTATGCTATTGAGTGTGGTGTGTGCAAGCGCCGCTATATTGGGCAAACGAAAAGAAGCATAGTGGTTCGATATAGAGAGCATTGCAGTTGTGCGAAAAAGAAGAAAATGTAAGAGTCTGCGTTTGCCAAACATGTAGTAGAGAGTGAGCACGGAACCGATGAAAGTGACCATAGCATCGAACTGATTAAGAATGTCAATAGACAGAGCAGGCTCGATGCGTATGAGAGTTATTACATCGAGAGGGAGACAGCACCATTGAATGCGGAAAGCGGGAACATACAGTCCTGCTTATTTGCATTGATTTGATGCGGCGAATATTTTGTTGTTGCTTAGTCTTTTTGCAAAAGACGCACCATGGGCGGAATTTATGCCGTGTGTGTGTGTGTGTGTGTGTGTGTGTGTGCGGAACATCGAGGTTTTTCACGGTTACCGCGGAACCGATAAGAGATAACAGCTTGATGTTTTCGGCAAGTGTTGTGGTACTCTGAGGTTTTCTATCATAGATATAGTGCCACAATACATTTCAAATGTAAGTCATTTGACACATAGCAGCCAATGCCATCTCAATTCCAATTTTTAAATGAAAATTAAAAAAAAAAATCTGGGGAAAAATCGATTATTCCGCAGTAGCTATCTCATATGCTTTAACAATGTTTGACGTTAGAAGTTCTTTTTCAAATACAAAATATTTTTGAATTTTATAAACCGTTCACTTTATGCACATTCCTAAGTATAAAGAACAACTTTATTTTACTATCCCGAGATATAATCATATTCTTACCTTTTTCATTAAAAAAAATTCAAATCTATGTCGCTCGTTTGCGCTTGGCTCTGTTACAATCTGACGGTGGCTTTTGAAAAATGGAAAGTTAGAAGTCCTTTAATTAATTATGTACTATGCGTACAAGCATTCAAAAAATTTTGTACTTCATTCCTGTGGATTTTATGAAACTGGTATAGAACCGCATTTTGGGCCAGATTGTAACAGTGCCTTCGCGCTCACCCATTTATATATTTTCCATACCACACAAATTGTGATGACATCTTGAAAGTTGATAGATCTATCGACTAGATCGAGAGGAGAGTATGTGAAAAAATTCTAATATATTTTGAAAGAGGAGAGTATGATTTCTGTTGATTCTATCTGCGTTAAAAGGAAGTATGTTGGCATCCCGTCTAGCCTCCGCGGTTTTTCACGGTTACCGCGGAACTGATAAAAGATAACAACATGGTGTCTTCGGCAAAATTGTAGTACTCGAAGTCTTTTATAACATTGCTGAAGACATCTATCTCTTATCTCTTATCAGTTGCGCGCAAATCGCGCACATAAAAAAGCAAATTTTATATAGAACTTTTTTTTTCTTATCATTTTTCGCGCTTTTCGCGGAACTGATAAGAGATAAGAGATAACTGACTTCAGCAATGTTAACGCCTTTCTCCATTTCTCTTACTCGCCTTTAACCATTTTTGAGTCGGAAGAAACTTACTCTTCTCTTTCATAACAAAGTCAGATGAACTTACTCTCCTCTCGATCTAGTCAATAGAGATGTGGTAAACGCTTCATCGTATCGATGTTGTATTTGATGGCAGTACATTGTGTCACAGTCTGACTACTTGTTGTCAAAACATATACATTTAAAATGTATCGTCCCTAATAGAGTATGGAGATGTCTTCACTTGCGTTGTTAATGTGATTCGTGTGGTATATGAAAATGCCACCCAAGTACAGTCAGTCAAAAAAGTATTCGGCCACCTGTAAACAATTTTTTTTTCTTCATATTTCTGTGCAATAATTATTCAAAGTCGATTCAATTCATGTTTATTTATTAAACTTGAAGTATATTCTTTATTATTAATAGGCTATTAATAGGCTAGCATATTTAGAATATTAATCACATTTTAGAATGTTTTTGGGACCTTTTTCAGTGAGATACTTAAATTTGACGCAAAAAAGTATTCGGTCAAACATCAATATTGCATGATTTTTTAAGAAAAAAGAGAATATTAAATATTTTGTTGGGTTTCCTTTTGCGCGACGAACCGTCTGCATTCTACGTGGCATTGAATCGACCAAATTTTTGGTCACAGTCGTTGGGATTTTGGCCCATTCGGATACAATCGTGGCTTTCAACTCAGCTATGCTACTGATGCTGATTTGGCGTATTTTTCGATCCAAATGGTCCCACAAATGTTCAATAGGATTGATGTCAGGTGTCAATCAATCTTTTTGGACAACCATTCCTTCACACTTCCTGTGGTATTGGTTGTAATATGACCATACTACTACCGATACATTTTTGTGACATAGTAATATCGCACAGCACAGCAGAGCAGATACAATATATACAAAATCGCCACTTTCACCAATAGTAATAATAATGATGGTAATTTGACAGATCACTATTGGTATATGTGAATCATATTAATTCCTTAAACACCAATTTTCCGACACCCGAAGCAGTCATGCAACCCCATACCATCACGGAACCGCCGCCATGCTTCACGGTTGGCGTTAGGTTTTTTGGCTGTAACTCCGTGCTTGGTTTTCGCCACACTTCGGCTCGAAAGTTCGATGAAAATACCTCAAACTTACTTTAATCCGACCATATCACCTTATTCCAGTACGATTGAGGTGTGTTTGCATGACGAATAGCGAATTCCAAACGCTTGGCCTTATTAGCCGAACTCACCAAACATTTTTTCCGTGCGATCCGATCATTGTACCCATGTTTTTTCAGAACATTTCTTACTTTTTGTGGTGTAACTTCAACATTTTCAGTGCCAGCGATGCTGCAATTTTTGGTGCCGAATCCTTTGGATTTATTTTGGTTTTTCGGACTATTTTAGTTTTCAGCCGATCTCTGATCTTCAACGGCCGGTCCGATCTTGTTTTGTTCAGTATTCTGCCACTTGTTTTATACTTTTTGATGATTGAGTTTATGGTTGATCGTAGTTTTGAACCATAAGGCGATAGCATGAATGAAAATGCGGCAGAAAAAATCAGCAAAAGCCTTAAATGTTCCAAACGCTTTGGATTGATGGCGCTGTCAGAAGCTCTCTGAAGCACATTAGAAGTGGTGAATGTGATTATGACAGATAATATTTGTGTTTACGTTTAGAATCGTTGACTGTCAAAGTAGAGAATGTTCTGTCAATATAAACCAAAATACCAACATGGCGGGCTGAAATGCTGTCATGGCGGATATCTTTCTCATTAAACTACACATGAAAATATCTCAAAAACGGCTGGGAAAATCGGCAAAATGGACCGTGGTGTCACTCCCTAAAGGGAGTGTAGACACCCGGCTGTTTTGATGGTCCAAAGTTCAAATCCGGTGGATTTGAGCTCATCCATGGGTTCTCGGGATTTGGCCTGATCCCAGCACTTGCCCTGTGGTGAAATTCCATACAAAACATGAGTTTGACTTGTAAAGATGCTCACAGGAAAGGAAAAGCTGGGAATCAGACCAAATCCTGAGAACCCATGGATCAGCCCGAATCCACTGGATTTGATTTTTGGGCCATCAAACCAGCCAAAGTCCATTTTGCCGATGTATAGTGACACTATAAAATTTGAAACGTGTTTATGCTGTGTTTAGCCGGAGTATTTGGTCAAATTCCTTAAATTTACGCGAAATTCAACTAAATTAATCAATATCCACCCATAATTTCTTAATTTTTTCAATTTGATAACAGTTTCAAATTTTATAGTGTCACTATAAATTTTATAGTTTGTCCCTTTTAGTATCACTTTTCGACGACATTTCCAACGATTTGGTTTTTCAATTTTCCAAATAGTTTTCAATCAAAACAAAACATTAGTTTTAATTGTAAAATGTTGAAAATTCAACCAATCAATGAGAATGGAAACTATAACACATGATGGTCGAAGCGTAGCTGCTCTTATGTCAAAAATTATAAATATAGTGCGCACTTCGTGCGTTGTTATTTATTCCGTGTTCGTCTCTAGCTCGAATGGAAACGGAAACGAATTAGTTGCGTTGAATTATTGTAATATTTTCATGTATTTCAACGTAAATTAAAAAGTTCTTACATTGGGTTAGGTACATTTTTTGAATTGCATAGAAAAGTTCATGTCAAGCGGATTTGTTTTCATTATTTAGTACAAACAAAAAACTCGTCTTTAGAACAAGAATCAAATGATGACACACGTACTTACAGCATAAATATGTGGATGAATGAACAAATATAATGTAATATTTTGTAATAGTTTTTGATAATCATCACTGTATTACATGCAGTAGACTAAAACAGAATATTTGCATAAAAAAAATTAAAATTGTGTTTTGTGTGAAGACAAGACACTGATGTAGTAGCATCATCTTTTGAAAGTGAAACGAAAAGTATCTGACTTTTACATTTAAGTATTATGTCACACATACGGATACTTTAACATTATTTTCATTCGAATAGGACCCAACCTTCTTTGTATTATGAATATTAAAGTACGTGCAGTGCAGCGCCTTTCAATGTAAAAATAATACAATTGGAGGATGGCAAACGGGTGTTCTCTGTACTTTAATAGCTATTAATTGGTTTTTATGAAATGTTGAGGATGAAAACAAAATATGAGAAATGAAAATATAAAATTGAAACTTGCCTTTGATAGAAACGAATCAAAGGAAAAGTGTAAATAAAAATAAATCGAATAATTTATTTCATTATGTAAACATTCATGACAAAATATTTTTCATTTGTTCAAAAATATGATTTATTTTATGGTTTATTATTTCTCTTCTCCTTTCTCTTTTTGCGTATTGTATCGTCATTTTTTAAATCTAAATATCGACATTTTATGAGCTACACAAAATAATATATATTGAATAAATTTTTCAACTAATTCACATTTTTGAAAAACTTCTCCTCCCTGCCATGGTGGTGTATGCGTCTGCTCATGATTCAGGTTCGATATCTGTTGCCCCAGAAAATATAACTGTTACATTTTTAAATCCAACGTCGGTAAAAATATCGTGGCAAACATCGGTAGATCAGCATGCAATACCAGTGGACAAATATGATGTTACGTACAAACCTACCGATGCTAGGTAAGAATCTTTTGAAATTCTATTTTGTGGTTTCATGTGTTTTGTTATAATTTTTATTGTTATTGTAGTTAATTTTCATTGTTATTGAAATTGTCAGTGACGTCTCATGGATGGAAAATGAAGTCAAGACTTTACAAATGTAAAAGCACTATGAATTGAATCCATTTTTATATTTAGGGTCATGTACTCGAATGTGAGGCACTTTTTTTCTTTGGACCATAAAGGCGTCAAAAATTTGAAATTTTCGACATCTGATGGCACTCTTCTGTAGAGGAAGGAAAATCCTAACTTAGGAAATTCACAATTTTTCAAAATTTAGATTTTTCTCCAAAAAAATTTCAAATTTTCAAACATGATGATTTTTTGACTTTTTCAAAACTGTACTCTAATGTGAGCCACCCCCAAAATTCATCCAAAAAATGCATAAATATCCACTTAAATCATTTTAAATGTTGAATCAACAATCCTTTAAGACAAATAAATGAAGATATGAGCAAACAAAAATTACACTCGAATGTGAGATCCATCGATTTCAAACCCCAAAAAATTAAAAAAACCATCAATTGCAATGCATTTTTTTGTATATTAATCGTTCAGAAATGAAAAATAAATGAAAATTGTGACAAAAAAAAATAACAAAAAAACTTATTCATTATCGAATTCTTCTTCACAAAGACTGGCTCACATTCGAGTACAAGCGTGATTTCGCGCTGACTGACGCTACACCTACACAATTTGAGCAAATCACAAATTCCCTTCGGATTATTGAAAATAGAGATGAAACCAACACCTTGTTTATATTTACCTTTAAAATCGTCGAAAAAATCACACAAAATAACGGTTTATATGATGATAAGGAAAAACTTTTTGAAAAAAAATTTTATCACTTCTTTATTTGAGTAACAAAACGTATGTGAATCTGGGTGTTTGATATTAGAAAAACAAGAAATAGTCAAAAGAAACCGATGACAGAAATTTTGTTGACATATGTCAACGTTTAGCCCGAAAATTGAAGGTGGTTCACATTAGAGTACGGCTCACATTCGAGTACATGACCCTACTATTAAAAAACACAAAGAGCATTTTGATGAATATCAGTATTTTACGGCAGTTTTCGAGTAAATGCTATATATATTTGAAGCCTTACTTACGTTGAAAATTAACTGTGATTTATTGCTGCAATGCGCTTTTTATTGAATATATTCAATATATACACTACCGTGCAAAAGTTTGGAACCACTAGGTATTTTTCACACAAATTGACCATTTTTGGTGGACTCATTAACTTATTTCGGAAACACCTGCATTCTTGATAATTTGTGCATAGTTTCTACAACGTTTCGATAGTAAAACACAGAGGTTTCATCAAAAAATATTCATGAATTTCAAAAATATAGCAATTTGAATTTGTACTGTGTGAAAAATGATCAAATTTATATGAAGATTAAAACAGATCAAATTCTAATTGATATATTTTTTAAGTACGTGAATACTTTTTGATGAAACCTCTGTGATTTACTATTGAAACATCGTAGAAACTATGCACAAAATATCAAGAGTGCAGGTGTTTCCGAAATATGTTAATGAGTCCACCAAAAATGGTCAATTTGTTTGAAAAATACCTAGTGGTTCCAAACTTTTGCACGGTAGTGTATTTAGTATATATACAAATGCGTTTGGCTAATTCGATTCCTTTCATGTCACGCTACAGATTTACATTTTGCCGCAACACATTAATATTGTAACGAAGAGCCAAAGTAATGCTATTACAATTGTTATGCAAAAATCACAGCCGGCGACAGCAGGCGCGAGTGACGAAAGCACCTCTGTGCTGAAAGTCGAACTCGCCTATATTTACACGCAATTTCGAACTTTTTTCCTAAGAGGCCATCTGGTATGAATGAAGTATCGCTAGAAAGCCCCTGGCTCATAGGTCCAGAAAATGCATTCAAACTTGAGAATCGACCAACCGCCTCCATAGAAATAGCCACTCGAAAATTATGTACAATTATCAGTTTTTCCCATTTAGCGGGTATTGAACGCGTCCGTTCATCTTGAAACATGTTTTTCCTGAGTCTACTCGTCGAGACCTTTCCAACAAGCCCAAGAACGTCGAAATCGGACAATCCGTTCATGAGTTATGAAGATTTAAAAAAAAAAAATTGGCGTCTCCACCAATTATTCTGAGATGATATTTTTTCTGTCCGTCTGTCCGTAGTTTTTGCCCGATCTTTTTTAAACTTTCAGACTTTTGAAGTATATCAAAAACTAAGACTTTTTTGTTCCGCCATTTTTTGATTTGGCCGGCCTTTGAAAATTCAAAATATGGCCGTCTTTCCAATGATCACTGTGCCTAATCCAGTGAACCGATTTCAATCTTTTGGGTATCGTTGGAAAGGTCTTGAGGCCAGCTATCAAATGACATCTATTTTAATTTGAAAAAATTGAGTTGGCATGTCTTATGGGCAGAAACCCGAAAAAATGGTCACCTGGCCTTGCATAAATCGGCCATTTTATCGAAAACGGCTCCGACGATTTTTTTAAAAATTCTCTGAAATTTAGCCCCAAGTTAGAGCTAAACTTTGTCATATAGCTTATATCTGGGAAATCTCTGTGTTTCGAGATATAGCCATTAGAAGTTGGAAAAAACTTGAAAAATCGACAAAAATCAACTAAAACTCTTTTTGTTGCCGTTAACAAGGGCAAAATCATAACCAAAGTGTTTTTGCGTTCAGATGAATAAAATTTCTTCAGATACCAGCCCCTCAACAAGTCCACGCAATCAACAATAAACACAAAAAAGTACTTTTCATCAAAACTATCTAGCTCATATGCTATAGCAATGTTTGACGTTTAGAACTGCTGTGGAAACTTTGTTGGGAGCGCCACCAACCACAAATCTCTGTGAAAGTAAAGTCTTTGTGTGTACGTTCGTGTTAATGCAAAGAGTCTATGTGTGCGTTGTACAATGTACACAGAGGTGTTGGTTCGTTTGAACGTCGCATCCAACGTCGCATCATGTTAGGCGGCGCTATTGATATACTTTGCTTCAATCGTCAACAAAATAATCAAGTATTTCTCCGTTTTGCTTTTCATGAAAAAATCAAAATCAAAATCAAAAAAATTCATAATGAAAAAACTAAACATGTGATAGTTTTCTTCTTAGTATAAAAGCGATATGTAATTTCATCAAAACAAAATGTAATTTCATCTATCTGTCCAAAAACCAAATTTTATTTAGCGAAAAAAAATTTAAATTTTTTTTCCTCCGGTGTACGACTCGAACTCGAGTCCACACGCTCATAAGTCTGATTTTGCTTCATTCAAAAAGGCGAAAATGCTGGTTTTTAACTACAACATTTCATGTTTCATTTTCTTTGGCTCAATACACACCACTTTGTGTTTGTTAAGTGTTAGTTGTTTTTGTTGAAAAAAAAATGTCGGGTACAAAACAACTGATATCAAATAAAAAAAACTTCTTTCGGAATAATTCCTCGTGACGAAAGCGAACACAAAACAGCTGATATCAATTTTAAAAAACCATTTCGGAGCGATTTGGATTTGCTTCTTTTGCATTCTTTCAACTAATTTTTGAATCGCTCCGTAATGATTTTTTAAAATTGATATCAGCTGTTTTGTGCTCGCTTTCGTCACGAGGAATTACTTCGAAAGAAGTTTTTTTATTTGATTTAGCATTACCGGTAATGTGTTACAATTGTAATAGCTATTACTTGACCCGTCCGGTACAATATTAACATGTTACCCAACATTTACGGTAATAAAATTCTGGAAGTGGGTTTTGGTGGATCTTCAGGATGGATCAGACTGGGTTTGACAATGCCCTGGTCCATCCTGAGGATTCACTTCCAGAAGCAGGAGTGGTTTTGAACAATCCTAAAGATCCACCAAAACCCACTTCCAGAATTTTACTACCGTAAATGTTAGGTAACATGTTAATATTGTAACGGACGCGTCAAGTAATAGCTATTACAATTGTAATGCCAAAATTTGACACGTAATGCTACTACCTATTACATTTTTAATCCGGTAAATCTGTATGTCACGCATTGAATTTCATTTGAATGGGCAAGCGGAATAATGAAACGTAATTCTGTTTTTAAATGAAGTGCCTCTGAGAAAAATTTTCAGTAAAAAAGCCCCACAAAAATATTGTCTGAATAAGATTTTCATACAAATTTTTATCAGACAATATTTTTGTGGGGCTTTTTTACTGAAAAATTTTCTCAGAGGCACTTCATTTGAAAACAGAATTACGTTTCATTATTCCGCTTGCCCATTCATTTATAATCCGGTGAAAACAATTGCCAACGTGCAGTGACCCGATTTTCAAGTATTACTTGCATTGACTAATACATACGCTTACCACAGTCATTTTTTAATTCAAAATTCAAATATTATTGTTCCATCACACAACACGACAATGTTTGACAATGTTTGACATCAATGCAGTTCCAATGCGTTGCCGTCAAAATGTGTGGCGTTGTTGGTTTGACGTTTAATGAGCGAGACTATCCCGTGCCGGTATTCTAAGTCATTCCACCAAAATCGTTCGGAATTATTTTTTTCGTACATAAGACCATATAGACCAAGAGCAGTTGAACAAAGTACACACAGAAGAAAAAATATAAAAGACTACACAGTAAGATCAATCAAAACAGGATTTATGCGACAAATCATGTAAAATGATAAAATATCGTGTAAATTCAAATAAAACAATGAATTGGTCAATACTATTACCCGATACACGGATCTGTCAAACGTATTATGCGTCATCTTTGAAACATTGAAAATTACACGATATTTTACACGTTTTTAACGTTTTACACGATTTGTCGCATAAATCCAGTTTTGATTGATCTTACTGTGTAGTTTTTTATATTTTTTCTTCTGTGTGTACTATAAATACAAGCCTCATGTCAGATAATGGAATTGTAGGTGCACATTGATGCCAATATTCAAAATATCAATTTGTTTTATCT